TCCGCTCTAGCGGAGATGTTGGCGCTCGAGCGGGGAATACACCCATCCAGTATTTGTTGTGCAGTGTTTGTAAGAAATTATGTATTATTGATTGATTGATATCTTACAAGATTGTTTGATATTCTGTATATTACAATTCCTATATATAGAGGAGAAGATGGTAGTGGAGTGTGTGATAGTGGAGGTGGATGGTAGTGGAGTGTGTGATAGTGGAGTGGTAGTGTGAGAAAGATAGTGGAGGTAGTAAGGTGAGGGTAATTCTGGTAAATCTAAACAAGCTCCCCGCAAACTCAAGGAGGATAAAACTAACCAACTGAGTTTGAAGAGAGGAAACAAAACAAGAAAATACATAAAATAAAAAGGATAGGAGACACTGTATTGGTCGTGTCAACCCGTTGTAGAAAACAGTTTTATGGGTCATGCGACGTTGGAGAAGACAGTTTATAGGGGTCATGTCGGACCGTTGTAAAGGACAGTTTATGGGTCAGTCGGAACCGTTGTAGAACAGACAGTTACAGAGTCTTCCTTGCTGGCCCTTGTATGAAACTAACCGGAAAATCAATGTCGGGACGTTTACAGAAGTTTGTCGACGCATAAAGGAGCTATACCGGAATCAGATGTCGGGACATTTTACAGAGTCTTGTCGGACCCAAAGGAGCAACCGGACATCAATGTCGGGACAGTTTTACAGAGTCTTGTCCCGGACCCTTAAAAATCGCATCCTCAAAAGGTGCGCCCAATTTTTCAAAAAGCGTGCCATCAAAAAAGACGTGCCCAATCCATCAAAAGGCGTGCCATCAAAGGGCCGTGCCCAATCAAATCAAAAAGTGTTGGCGGACATGATGGCGAGGCACGTGGGTGCCTTGGCTTTGCGTGCCCGTCTTGTCCGGCTGGTGGCAAGAAGGCGCGCGATGCGCGTTGGCTGCTCGGCTATATAACTAAGACGAAGGCAATGAGGCTGTGCAAACCAGTTTGAAACCTTGAATTTGGCAAGTCTGAAATACTCTGTAAACCCTGCCCGGAATACACTTAGCAACCCAAAACATGCTCACTTTTCCGTCTCCAGCTCCCAGAACTGCTCAACTGTCTCTTGTCCCAGAACTGAACGAGCCCCACAGGAGAAATAACTGTCGGTGGCCAGTGAACCTTCAACCCCCACACCTCTGGTTTTGCTCCATTGAACTTTCGAATGCGGTCGGTGGAAGCAAAAAATGGCGGTGCAAACTGATAATTGAGGCTAATCAGTAAATATCTCTGAAGTCATGCGTTGGAAACCATGACGGCGGTCACAAATTGTCGAACCGGGCCTGCAGAGTAGGACAAATGAGGTGCAGCAATTTTAAACGCCCATGCTGGCTCTGCCCAACGCATGTAAAGGATGCGCGAGCAGAGATAAGCGTGCTAAGGGCAAGAAACAAGGAGGCTGAAGCCCGGAAAAAAAAAAAAGGCGGCACCGGGATGTTCCGATTTGGGGGTCCACCATATGCTGCAGTGGAGGAGTTGGGGGAGTGAAAACGTGCTCGGTGGACAAGGAAAACACGGAAGGCACACTCGTCAAGGGTCTCGCCCATGGACGGAGGTCAAGAGAAAAGGCCGGCGGAATAGGCGAAGAAGTGATGGCGGTGGGTGGCCGTCTGCAGAAAAGAAAAAAAGCTTTCGGTGTTGTCTTTTGGTTTTTTTTTTTTTTTTTTTTTTTTTTTTTTTTTTATTGTAAAATGTGATCGGTGGTGGATCCTGAGAGAAATAAAATATGGGCTGTTGTGCAAATGTGTAAAATGTTTTTTTTTTTTTTTTTTTTTTTTTTTTTTTGAAGATATAATATCTAATAATAATAATAATATAATAATAAATAATAAAATATATAATAATACAAGAATGGGGCAATAGTTGAGGATGGAAAGAAATATTTATTTAAAGGATGGTGGAAATATATTGGGTGGAAGATATATAATAAAAATTATATATATTATTAAAAGAAAAGAAAAGTGGGAAAAAGAAACGTGGGTTGGTGTGTGAACCTGGTCCCTCAGCTGCTGTAGTGTGTGATATGTTTTATTTTATTTAATGAGGTGGCCTTGAGTGGAGATAAACAAGCGGTGCTTCAGATGAAAAAGCAAAACATCCCCAAAAAGAAAAGCAAAAGCAAACCAAACACGCCATCACCAACCCCCTCTCTCTCTCTCCTCCATTCATCAATTCTCAGTGTATTAGACTTAACGTGTCATCAACAGTCGAAGCTCAAAGACTCTACTAACATGGCGGACGCTTCCAACCACGCCAGATTTCTTAACCCATGGGTTCCCTCCATCATCAGAAAATTGGGTCTCGAGCTCAAAGTGCCCTTCTGCCTCACCTGCTTAAATCGACCAACCTTGCTTCCCCTGCAATCACATCTTCTTGCCGATTCATGCTACCGAGATGAACCATTTTGGAATCCCGAATGCCTGTCCTATCACCAACCAGTATCTGATCGAGATGTAAGACCAGCACCTACAATGGAAAATTTTGGTAGCCATTTATAGAAGTTTGGAGGCTCTTTCGCGCACGTCTCTTTCTCTGATGGTCCCTCTCTCTTCCTCTCAAAACAGACCAAAACTCTTCTAAACTTATGGAAAGAAGATGGAGAAGACTTGAACCGGCCATTTTGGCAATCAAAAGCTCCACCAATCGCCGCGCCGCCGATGATTGGAAGGCGGTTTGGAGGCAGCGGAGGAAGGGGAGACGAAGAACGGTGGAGCGGCAACCGTGGCGGCCCCAAGATGCGAGCCGGACCAACCAAGACTGGAGTTGGAATCTTCAACCCATCCAGGGCGTGATGCGAGTGCCGAAGAGAGGATAGAGAGAAAGCAGAGAAGTGAAAATTTTGAGAAATGATCGGTTTCGAACTCTTCGTTCACTGCCATTGAAGAAGAAATTAAGGCGGAAATTTGGGTTTGGTCCGGGCGGGCGGCTCAAGGCGAGATTGGGCCGCCCGCCGGGGAAAGCCGAAAAATATTAAGGTTCTAAACCTGCTCCGATACCATGTAAGAAATATGTATTATTGATTAATTGATATCTTTACAAGATGGTTTGATATTCTGTTATATTACATTCATATATATATAAAGGAGAAGATGGGTAGTTGGAGTGTGTGATAGTGGAGGTGGGATGGTAGTGGAGTGTTGAAGCTGGAGGTGGTAGGTGTGGAGAAAGAATAGTGGAGGTAGTAAGGTGAGTGGTAAATTCCTGTAAATTCTAACAAGTGTTGTACGCACGAAGCGTAGGGTTGGGAGCTCGAGCGGAGGTCGGTTCTGCAAAAGTGCATGAGCGAGTGGCATTTTCTGCGCTCCGAGCGGGAAGGTTGGCCGCTCGAGCGGAAGTCTGTGAGTGGCGCTCCGAGTGCGGGGTGTTTTACGCTCGAGCGGCAGACCCTGGGTTAAAGTCCGAAATTGTGACTTTTCCAAAATACTTTTTCACTTTCTCTTCTCTCTCATAACTTTTTCCAAAATCACCATTGGTTGAGCCTCTCACTCTCAGATACTACCTTCTCTCTAGGTTTTGATACTAGTAGGAGTAATTTGCTCACCTTTGCCTTTACAAAAAAGTTATTGATCGTCCGGGGCTAATTTTATCTGAAAATCTCGGGTTTTGGAGCACAGTTGGGTTTTTGTCGTCTTCTCCTTTGGGGCTCCGAATTTGAGGTAGGGGATATCCTACTCCTCCTGCTATGGATTTTTGTTTTAGATTGGTATTTTGACGATCGTTGGGGTTGGTTTGGTATTTTGTGAAAAGTTTGGGTTTCTTTATGTGTAATTTTACAAAAAGTTGGGGATTTTATTCATAATAAACCTGGAATGATGTTTGGGAATAGAGATGGGAATAAATGTTGAATCATTGATGAATAATGGGACCTAAGGGTGAAACTGTTAATTATGGGGATTGACCTAATTACATTGTTTGATTAATTGGGATAATTAATTGAGAAAAATGAGGAAATGAAATGTTGATTGAATATCCATTTGTGCATTTATTTTCTGTTTTAGAAATAACTGCTTTGGGCTATCGGTGGAGGATAGTCGTGATTGTTGTAGACAATGCATGTTGATTAGGCAAACTGAAACTAATCAATGAAGTGTGTCATGGAACTTGACGGTTGATAGAATACATTGACTTTATGTATTGAGTGATGGTATATAGAACCCATGTGTTTGTATACATTATGTGTAGAGGAGGAGAAAGGGGATGTACTCCGCGGTTTAGGGGAAGATAGGGGATGTGCCTCTAAACCGGATAGTGTTGGGAGAAGATAGGAGATGAACTCCGTAGATACAGCTAATACGCTTGTCTAGAGAAGTGAAGATAGAGCTTATATGCTTATCTTTGTGATGTGTGGATATAGCTTATATGCTTATCTGTGGATATTGTTGTTATACATATCTATTGTAGAATGTGGATATAGCTTATATGCTTATCTGTGGATATTGTTGTTTTACATATCTGTTGAGAATGTGGGTAGTGCTTATATGCCTATCCGTTGAAAAAGGGAAAATAAAAGGAAACTTGGACTTGTAAGTCGTATGACATAAATATGTGATTTATGTGATTGTATCAGTGTTGACCATCTATCAATTGCTAATACTTTAGTCATTGTTCATGGTTGGTTTAGTGTATTTCTACTGGGCTGTGGCTCACCCTATATGGGAATATCATTTTCAGGTGCAGGTAGCATGCCACCTCCAAGGACATAGCTGGGAGGCTAGTGGCGGACATGTTTTTGTCGCTTAACTTTTGATGTATTACATGTAACTTCAAGCCAAGGGCTTAATGTGTAAACGAGTTAGTACCCTTTGTTGTAACCAAGTGTTAACTTGGAAAGCTGTAAGCCCGTAGGGCATTTTGTTTTGATGTTAACATGTAATACATATGTATATGGAACTCTAATGAATAAAGGAATGTGGATGGTTGTATGTAAATGCATGTCTTATCTGATGGCTTAATGCTGTTATTTTGAGGGCGTTACATATATCATCTGAAGTCAATAATTCTTCATTACACTTCAGATCTTCTCAAAGTCTCTGAAATCTCTTAGAGAAGGATCAGAAAAGGTAAGAAATCCACTACGATGGACCTTAGTACATCCATTTTCAGTTTTCTAGTTTAACATTCAATACCAATTTATTGGCAAGCAAGCAACTTATTTCTTTTCTGAGCTATTTTGTGCGGGCTTGTGTTTTTGTGTGTACAGGTGCGTGCATGTACTATTGTCTAACTTTAGTTATCGTGTTCTTCTTAAACTGCTAGTTAATATGGAATCTGAGTTCTGCCTGTCAAAATTTTCCACATCTGTACACCATAGAATCACTTAAGCACGCACAAGAATAGATTTATGTCCTCCTTATATTCTTTATACGCAGATTTAATTAATTATGCACTTCTTAACTTCTGAAGTATATGACTCTTTCTGACCTGGAAAACATTAGGGTCATATTGAGATTAAGCAACTAAGAAGGACGAACACAAACAAGCATACATGACAATTTAAAAAAAAATAAATAGGATACGACACATGGGGATACATAAAATATATTGTTTAATATATTTATTATATGTCATATATAATGAATAATTCATTTAAATGTAATTAAAAAGGGTAAATTACTATACACCCCCTGAGATTTGTTTAAAATACGGATTGTCCATTATGGTTTGAAAAATTACAAATACCTCTATTATCAGAATTTTTTATTTAAAAGAATTAACTGAAAAAATAAATTCCTAGTTGCTCTTTTATACAATAATAAAATTATCTAAATTATTAATTGAAATAAATTTCTGACATCATTTAAAATAGTTAATTGACTTGGTGATTTATTAATAAAATGGGCCATTTGTTATAGAAACTTCAAGGGGTGGGATGTAACTTTCAGAATCACAGGGATAATTTGTATTTTAAGCAAATCTCATGGGGTGTATTTGTAATTTACCCATAAATATATACATATAAAAAAATAAAAACATAAACGGAAAGTCAGAATACATACAAATGCATAACCACAGACCTTAATCTATGTTAATATTCTCTAATAATGAAGGCTGAACGAAGTTTATTATAACCCTTTCTTTTTTTTTATTAAGTAGAGACTTAGAGTGAATAATTTCATAAATGAAAAGCTGTTGTGATCCTTTGAGAGTTTGCAATTACTTATAATTTGTAACTGTGTAGAGTAAAGGAGATTGGAAAAAATGTGAAAACATGAGTTTTGCTAAATAAATGGGTATAATTTGAAAAAGAGACAATTTTGAAATAAAATGATTTGACAGAACATCTTCTCTTTGGGAGACACCAATTTGTGTCTGGCTTAATATGTTACGATAGATGGATGCTTCGAATAGGCGTGTCCCTTCACTTTGAGTTGAAATTTACATGCAACTGTTGAGTTGCAATTTCCAATCAACAATTCACACTTTTTATAGTAGTAGTAGATATACCACATTATACAAATTTCTAAGGATTAAAGGAGGATTGATTGATGGCTATAAATCTACATTAATTTTCTTTTATCAATAGATTTCAAATTATTATTTTGTGGGACTTGTAATATGTTTCATGTGTTTAAGCAATGGACATGTGTGTTTTCCAATAGTCTGAAGTTTGTCCGAGTTTAAAAATATTTACATGTTAGAAGTGTCGGACACGTGTTGGGACACGTACACATGACCTTAAAAGTATCAGTGCTTAGTTAATTAAATACAAAGCTTTTTCAAATTCTTTCCTTTTGAATTTTTTAATAAACTATGAACACTGAAGAGCATTTTTAGTACCCTATTTATAGTACAAGTACACATTACATCAAAATTAAAAAGGCATGCTTGGTTGCAACTTTATATTACTGTTGTTTAAGAACCCAAAACGTATTTACCATAAAACAAATTTGGCATGAAGTTTACAGACACTACTATTGGCTTTCAGGCAATGGATATATTATTCTACTATAGCTTCTGTCATTCTTTGTTTAAATCACATAAATATTAATACATGTGTTCACGAACTTCCTTCTCATGGACAGTTAGCTATGTAGCTCTCGAACCACTAAAAACTCTTTTGCATAGAAAAACTGGATATCACCCACATAAGTTCTCGATTGTTTGTTAGTTTATGCAATATTGAGGTTCTACTTACCCAAGCAATGCAAGCTCCTGTGTTCCTTGGCTCAGAGACAATCTAAAGATGGAAATCTGATTGGTGTTTTCTTCTTTTCCTTTTATTTTTGGGTTGCAGAATACGTGCAAATTGTTCAACAGGAAGAAATGGCAGGTGCCAAGCTAATGGCATCTCTAATGGCAAGTGAAGAGGTCATTGTCGACAGTATTGCCAGAGGACTACTAGAGGCGACAACAGTACTTTCTAGTGTATCATCTTCTGATCCATCACTACACGTATCTCAAGTGTCCAAAAAATTGCTTGCATGTTTAACTTCTCCATAGACTATCTTTTACATTTTTCCAGTTGCTACATATATTTTTTTTTTGTTGTTGATATTTGAAGTACTCGTATAAATGTATATAATTAATAATTAATGTGTCATCAAAGATATCTGAAAATTCCTGTTGTCTACTTGCTAGTAATCTGTCTACCAACTCTGATTTTTAGATCTTCACGTGTGGTAGATGGATCATGGAAGAGCACGACTGGACGTGCAGGGCTGGCGTGCGTATGTTTCGATGAACAACAAAACGAAGTATATCAGCAAGCTTGCAAAACGCAGCTTTCCTCACCTTTACTTGCTGAAGCAAAGGCAGTTGTAATGGCAATTCAATGGGCGTTGCAGACAGGAATCACATACCTATCTCTATTCACAGACAGGTTGTTGAGCCTGCGCATAGACTAGCAAAATCTGTTGAACTCTTTATTAGCTAATTGGTATATATAAATGTTTTTTGTTGTTCTCAAAAAATAAAAAAAGAAAAAATATATATATTTGTGATTTATATGCATATTACGGGCCTAATGTATCACCTTTTCACTTGAGAGAAGTGAGTACACCTTTTTATATTTTGGGTAAAATTACACCGACTTTCCCTCATATTTGAAAAAATACAATAAGGTTCATAAATTTGACAAAATTACATTGAGTTCCTTTAACACTTGACTCTCTTTTTTTTTTTTTTTATCAATAACTATATGGAATGAAACATGATGTCATCTTTTTTTACAATGAAATATATATTTTATCTTATTTATCTATATGTCTTTACACCATTTACATTAGTTTTGGTCACTTTAGCCTTATCAAAAAAGAGGTTAGTATAATTATGTCAAATTTTCACCTATTTCTATCTCTGTGTTTTCTATTTGTTCTTATTTTTTCAATCATGACCAAGTGAAAAATGTTTGTTCAGTTTCACCTGGTAAATTTGCTAACTAAATGGCACATTGGCATAATTTATTTATTTATTTTTAAATACTAGCTAAAGAAGAAAATGGTATAACTAAAAGTGCAAATGATATGGAGGCGTGCATAATAAAATTCTCCTACATGACCGTTGTCAAAGTTAGGTCTTTAAGTATTCTATCTAATGTCGTTGTTAAATTAATACGTTTCGTACAATTTGAGAGGAGCAAAAATGCAATTTTCTCTATATATATATATATATATTGTTAATGAGAATTTCATAGACTTCAATAGTGTTTGATAAAATTAAAAATTGAAAGTTTAATTTTTTAAATTGAAAAACTGCTTGATAAAAAATTGAGGGCTGAACTAAAAAAACTTTAATATGTACAAGATCAAATTTGAAACTTTAATATTTTATAATTTTTATGATGGTGAGTTGGTAGTGGTAGAGGAGGTTGTGATGACATTAATTATGCGCCAATGACAATAGTGGTAAAGATTAAAGGACAGTGATTGTAGTGATGACTGTAGTGATGACGGAAGGAAAATATTATGGAGATAAAAAATAATAAATAAATAAATAAATGGCTAACAATAGTCGTGAAATGATGGTGATGGTTGTAACAGCAGTGACAATGGTTATAAAAGTGAAGAGTTGTAGTAGTTATTGTAGTAGTAGCAGTAATAGTAGTGACGATGGTGGTGGTGGTAACAACAGTGGTTGTGGTCGCAGTGACTGTGCTAATGGTGGTAGCGATAATAATGACAACAATGACGATGGTGATGCAAATGATGGTAATTGTGACGATTCCGTCATATATAATATTTTACTTTTTATTAATCAAGGTGATTTGGATTTTAATTAGTTATTATTCTGATTTATTGTGGAATTGATAAACACTATTGGGTCTAAACATATCTTTACAAAGTTGATATTCACAAATAGCTCCAGAAACAGATCAGACGGACAGTGGCTCGTGACCTACACAAACAGAAAATAGATACACATTGAAACACAATAATATCACTTCCTTTATCAAACTTAACTTTTCTTATCCTTTTCTGTTTCCTATTTCACATATTCTTTCATTACTAAATCTTTATTTTCTAAATAGACCGATTTTTTACTTGGCTTCTTAATCAATTACTACTAAATCAACGACTCATCTTTGGACCAACTAATTTATGTTGATTGTTAGCTTATTAATCTTTATTGAGCTAGAAATCATGTCTAAAATGCTTAAGATCGTAATATGAGCAAAGTATAATTTTTTTTTTTTTAGTCTTGAACCTATACATATCTTGGTCAAAACTTTGGAAACATATCAGAGAACATAAATGTTTATTTATTTATAAATCATTTGCTCAAAATCTCATTCAATTGTCAATACTTAAATCAAAACTTCATGCATGTTTATAAAAAGTTTAAATAATTCTTGTCTCATGTAAGTTTGCACAGCTCAATGGATGATGTATATTTGTATTTTACTTTCGCTAGGTCCTAATAATTTGATTTATGTTAGAGTGGCCTTCGATAATTTACGGATTACTGACCGGTTACGATACTAAACTTACAGGGTTAGGTTTAGGTTGTGACAGTAGTAGTAATAGTAGTGGCAGCATTGGTGGCAGTCAATACTTATATTTAGTATTTTATAAATTCCGTCAGAATTAAATAAGTTTCATATTACTTAAAATTCTTTGAACTTTTAGTCTATATTTTGAGAGGCAATTGATTTTTTTTAAGTGATATCAATTATAATTATCAAACGAGTTTAATTAATTATTATTTAATACATTCAATTTTAAGTACTAAATTTGATTATCAAATTCAAATTTGATGAAAAAAGTAGACTTTTGTTGCTCCAACCTTTACATCAAGCCAATATCAAATCTAGGATTTTTTAAAGTTTTCATTAAATTGAGAATGGTTGTACCTTTCATCAATTTATTGTTCATAATCGTTGGAGATGCTGGACATACACTATCACCGAACGACCACTTCCTTGCAAAAATTTGTAAAAAAATTACATTGACTGATCGACAAACCGAACATCCCTTGATCGTTCTCTCGGTCGACTGGTGGTTTCATGAAATTCTAGATTGCTCCGTTGGAACATGCGATATCAGATGAAGCTTTTACTCAAATTTGATTAAAAAAAAAGGGTTAAACGTTAGAAATACTCTTAGTCCATCTCCAATCCTTCATTAGATCTTAAATTTGATGAAAAGTTAATGAAAATGGTGCTCTAACCATTTCATCAGTTTAATATCAAATAAAAAGAGCATTTAACTTTTTATCAAATTTGTAGGTGACCATTGGACCAGACGTCCGTCCGGACGCCCTCCTGGACAACCGATTGTGGAATGAGTTTGATAAAAAAATTTATATTAGCCGGTCGACACCCGAACATCCTCCCGATCAACTGATAATTTGATAAAAATTTAGCATTAGAATGCTTGATATCAGATAAAATTTTTAATCCAAATCTTTACTCAAATTTAATGGACAAAATACAAATAAGCGTTGAAAATCCTCTTAAACCTTTGAAAATTATTACATATTATAATATGCTTTGTAAAAATCAAACAAAAGATTTAAATATTCATTAGGGCAAATTATACTAATGATCCCTATAGTTTGGGACTTATGTCACTTAAATCTCTGTCTTTTCAATTGTGACACATTTGACTTTGAATTTTGAATCTTATTTCAAATAAGGACAATTGAATATATTATTGTTTAATTTCAAGGGCAAAATCATCAATTTGATAAAATATAAACTAATTTGATAAAAATAAATGACAAATTTTTTTTTTAATATTTAAAAATTATTTCTACTAATCAACTTTAATATCATTATTAAACTAATCCATTAAATTAAAAAATCCAAAACTAAAAACATTTCATATGTTAAATATATCGATTACACATTGTAATTTTAACAATCACCCATTATATGGTCATTATCCAAGCACATCATAAAAATTAATTTCGTAAAATAAATAAATAAATAAATGTCTAAAAAAATTATCAATTTTATATAATTTTATGTTTGATCAGTATAAATAATTTTTTAAAATTTTAAAATAAGGACAATAAGGGAAAAATCTTCAACTTGATAAAATATAAATTAACTTGATAAAAATAAATATCAAAAAAATATTTTTAAATTTTTAAAAATTATTTCTACCCATCAAAGATAAAATTATGTAAAATTGATAAATTTTTTACACATTTATTTATTTATTTATTTTACAAAATTAATTTTTATTATGTGTTTGGATGATGACCATGCAATGAGTGATTGTTAGGATTATAATGTGTAATCGATATATTTAATATATGAAATGTTTTTAGTTTTGGATTTTTTGATTTAATGGATTGGTTTAATAGTGATATTAAAGTTTTCGCCATATTTGATATTTGAAAAAAATAGAAAATAAGTTAATGAAAATAAAAACTACCCATTACATGATTATCATCTAAACACATAATAAAAATTAATTTGATATAAATAAATAAATAAATGTCTAAAAGATTTATCAATTTTACATAATTTTATCTTTAGTAGGTAGAAATAATTTTTAAATATTTAAAAATATTTTTTTGACATTTATTTTTATCAAATTTGTTTATATTTTATCAAATTGACGATTTTGCCCTTGAAATTAAGCAATAATATATTCAATTGTCCTTATTTGGAACAATATTCAAAATTCATGGTCAAATATGTCACAATTGAAAAGTCAGGGATTAAAGTGACACAAGCCCCAAACTATAAAGACCGTTCGTGTAATTTGTCCTATTTATTATATATTAAAACTTTAATATTCAACGCTTTAATTACTACGTCACTTTTGTAAGCCCTAGTTCTTGGATAAGGTTATGGGTGAAATCGATTCGGTCGGTCGGTTTTTTCACTAGTTTTGCACCGAAATCGATCATTTCGATTTTTCATATTTGTGAACCGAACCGCCCAGAAAAATAACATAAACCGGAGTGGTTCGATTTATTACGGTGCGGTGTGATTTTTCAGTTTTTTTGGCCCTTTTTTTTTCCCTAGTTGGGCCTCACATTTTGGGTCTATATTTCCATCCATTTTGCATAAAATTTGGGCTCAGGCCATGTAATTCCTACTTAGGTTTGGGGCCTCACATTTTGGGCCTATTAATATTATATAAGTCAGTTCGGTTCGGTTCGGTTCGGTTCAAACAACCAAAAACCGTAAACCGAACCGAATGTATAGAAAAGCATAAACCGAATCGAACCGAACGATTGAAAACTTAAAACACCGACCGAAAACCGTTCGGTTCGGTCGGTTCGGCCGGTTTGGTCGGTTTGGTCGGTCCTTCCGGTTATTCTTTCACCCCTAGATAAGGTCCTTTAGAAATAATTAGCGAATACTACTAAGTCAGTAATGCTACAGATTAGACATAAAAATTTAAAAATTATTCAAAATTTTATATGAATGACACAAATTTATTTTACAGAAAAAATTGGTCTAACATCCTTCTCTAACTTTTAATAATGGGAGATGTCTACAATAAATTTTTTTGTAGTCTAAGGTCCCTCACCCATACCCATATATAACACCT